TTCCTACAGAAATAGTACATAACTTGCGCAAGTGATTAATTAAGTTTGCATATGAATATTAATATGTAGTGAAAATATAATTGAATTGAGTTTTACGTACCTATATTGAAAAGGAGGATGGAGACATTGACAAACCAGAACTGGGTCAGTTGAGAAGTCTTCTTCTTAGCCGTATTTTGGTATCACCTATGGCAAGTAGCAATGACAAATCTTATATTTACTCTAAAGGGTACACAAGGGGCTAGTTTCATGCTCCAATATGCTTGAGTTAGGTTATGGATTCGAGTATATAACATGCATGGCAAGCTAGCTAGGGTCAAGCTTGTATAATTAAATATTTCAAGCCAATTAAATCCTAATCGAATTATGCAATGGAGTTGAAATTTTTGGGACTCTCTCTCTCTCTCAAGAAAATTCTACAAAACATATTTCAAGCTGTTATAATTAAATATTTCAAGCCAAGCGAATTAACCACGTACGACAAATTCAAAGTCTTAACCACGACAAATTTTTGGGTGCTTTTTGCTAATTTATTACAAAATATATTGGCATCCCACTAAAGTGGACTTGAAATGAAGTACTATATTGAATTAAATTTTTTCTTTGGGTACTTTATCAACATTAGAGCACCAAGAATTTCTTTCAAATTTCAATAATGCAAATTGATACCATAAATTGCATGGTAGTATCCAAGCCTGATCTTGAGGGGGCCTGGGTGTGGTAGCGTGTGATGGTATTAAAGAGCACACAAAGGGAAACGGGCCTCTTTGTGGTGGCACCACTTTACACACACCGGCTTGATAGTTTCTTATTTATTGAAATTCAATGAGATTTAGAGTTGACCAAAAATTCCACATCATGTGGAACCCGAAATTTTTAAATTTGGTTTGGTTTATGTAGTATTCTGTTTTAATATGAATTTCAATTCAAAACAAAAGGGTGTGAGACAAAGAGATGTCATTGTCACAAGAGCCTCGGGTTCCCAAGTAGCTTCTTCAATAGTTTGACTCCTCCATATTACCTTCACTACCGGGATGGATCTAGAGCGCAACACCTATTCCTTCCTATCCAGAATTTGTACTGGTTACTCCTCATACATCAAGTCTTCTCTCAACTCCACGGGTTGATGTTCCAGGATATGGGAAGGATCGGGCACGTACTTCCGTAACATGGATACATGAAATACGTCATGAATCTGAGATAGTTCTAGAGGTAAGGCAAGTCTGTAGGCAACAGGTCCAATGCGTTTTGTGATCTCATAAGGTCCGATATAACGAGGGCTTAATTTCCCACGTTTCCCGAACCTCATCACACCCTTCCACAGAGATAGCTTTAAGAACACCCAATCCCCAACTGCAAATTCAAGATCCGTGGACCTATTGTCTGCATAGCTTTTTTGTCGGTCTTGCGCAGTTTTAAGTTTTTCTTGAATCATCTTCACCTTCTTGGTTGTTTCTTGTATACTTTCTACTTTCTCCAATTTCCTGTCACCCACCTCATTCCAACATATAGGAGCTCTACAATGCCTTCCATACAAAGCTTCATACGGGGCCATTCCGATGCTCGAATGATAACTGTTATTATAAGCAAATTCCACCAAGGCAAGATGAGTATTCTAACCATCCTTAAGCTGCAACACTCAAGATCTCAACATATCCTCCAAGGTCTGAATTGTCCTTTCCGAATGTCCACCGGTTTGAGGGTGAAAAGCCGTACTAAACCGTAATTTAGTACCCATAGCATCATGTAGACACTTCCAGAAATGAGATGTGAACCTAGCATCCATGTCTAACACAATGGACACGAGTACTCCATGCAACCTCACCATCTCATCCACAAAGAGCTTAGCTAGTTTCGTCAAGGAATAAGTTTCTTTAATAGGTAGGAAGTGAGCGGATTTTACTCCATGCAACCTCACCATCTCATCCACAAAGATCTTAGCTAGTTTCGTCAAGGAATAAGTTTCTTTAATAGGTAGGAAGTGAGCGGATTTGGTGAGTCGGTCAACTATAACCCAAAGTTCGTCATGTCCCCTCGAAGTACGTGAAAGTTTGAAAAAAAAATCCACTGTGATATGCTCCCACTTCCATTCAGGGATTGGAAGTGGTTGCATAAGTCCATATGGTCTCTGCCGCTCCGCCTTCACTTGTTGACAAATCAAGCACCTGCTCACATATCTAGCTATATCGCCCTTCATATGCGGCCGTGAGTAGTACTCCCGTAGTGTCCGATACATCTTAGTACTACCCGGATGCATAAAATAGGTTGAACAGTGAGCCTCCATGATTTCCCTCTTCAAGTCGTCGTTCTTGAGTACACAGGGACGAGTTCTAGTTACTAAAGCTCCGTCTTCTCTTATTGCATAATCCGTTCGTGTACCATTCTCAACTTCCAGTCTAATCATGCAGAGTGTAGGATCCTCCAATTGGGCTGCAATCACCCGCTCAACCAGAAGAGGTCTCACATGCATTCGGGTAAGTAATCCACCCTGATTCATTCCCAGTTCCACACCATCTTTCTGCAATTCCACCAATAATGGAAGATAAGCCATTATGAGATGAGCTAGGCTTCCACTAGACTTCCTACTCAAAGCATCTGCTACAACATTAGCTCAGCCAGGATGATACTCAATAGTACAATCATAATCCTTCATCAATTCTAGCCAACGCCTTTGTCTCATGTTCAACTCATTATGAGTGAAAAAGTACTTGAGGCTTTTGTCATCCGTGAAGATTTGACAGGTCTCACCATACAAGTAGTGTGGCCAAATTTTGAGGGCGATCACCACTGCAGCAAGTTCCAAGTCATGGGTAGGGTAATTCTGCTCGTGTTTCTTGAGTTGCCTCAAGGCATAAGCAATCACCCGATCATGTTGCATCAATACGCATCCCAAGCCTTGTAATGATGCATCACTATTGATCACAAAGTTCCCAGTGTTATCCGGAAGAGCCAAAACTGGTGTGGTGGTTAATCACCTCTTCAACTCCTGAAAACTCTGCTCACACTCCTCTGTCCATACAAACTTCACTTCTTTTCTTGTTAACCGAGTGAGAGGTGCAGCTATCGTAGAGAATCCTTCCACAAAACGACGATAGTAGCCTGCCAACCCCAGAAAACTCCGTACTTCTATCACACTCATGGGTTGTACCCAATTCACAACTGCTTCCACTTTCCGAGGGTCCATGTAGATTCCTTCCGCCGAGATCACATGCCCAAGGAAATCCACCCTATCCAACCAGAACTGACACTTACTAAACTTAGCATAAAGTTGCTTCCTTCGCAAAGTCTTCAATACCAATCTCAGATGCTTCTTATGACCCTCCAGACTTTGTGAATGTACTAGGATATCGTCTATGAAGACAGTCACAAAGTGATCCAAGTAAGGTCGGAACACTCTGTTCATGAGATCCATAAACACTGTTGGGGCTTTCGTCAACCCGAAAGGCATCACTAAGAACTCGTAATGACCGTAACGAGTCCTAAATGCCGTCTTCGGAATATCTTCTTCTCTAACTCTAAGTTGGTGGTATCTCGATCCCAGATTAATCTTGGAAAAGTACTTGGCACCCTTCAACTCATCGAACAGGTCATCAATACGAGGCAAGGGGTATCGGTTACGCATTGTCACCTTATTTAGCAGCTGGTAATCGATACATAGCCTCATCATGCCATTCTTTTTCTTCACAAACAACACCGGTGCACCTCAAGGGGAAACACTAGGTCGGATGAATCCAAGATCGATCAATTCTTGTAATTGAGTCTTCAACTCTCGTAACTCCGCTGGTGCCATCCTATAAGGCACTTGATAGATCAGACTTGTTCTTGGAAAAAGCTCAATAGTGAACTCAGTTTCTCTTTGGGGAGGTAAGCTAGGGAGATCATCCGGGAATTCTCAAACAATAGGAACATCTTCTAGATTCAGAGTGACCTCACGAGTATCAATAATGTGGGCTAAGTATCCCACACATCCCTTCTTGAGTAATTGCCTGGCGGTTATGGCTAAGATTAGGCACTAATACTCTTTCTACATTTATCCCTTCATTACGTGCTTCTTCAACAACTCTTAGAGCTGGGTTGCCTTCATCATCATCTAAATGAAGAGGTCTAATGATAAGTGATATGGTGGTTAAGGTGTTGAAGGAGTAAAATGGTTTTCACAAAAACCATGTATATAAATATTTTTGGGTTTCTTATTGCGATATTATCAGGATATTATCGATAAAATCTCGATATATTGCCCAAATCATTCATAAAAATGTTGATATTATCGCCCCCAATATTATCGGGATAATATCGATAAAATTATCGATATATTGACGATAACACCATGGTTTGTTGCAAAAATATCGGCCCCCCAAAAATCTGGTATTATCAGGATAATATCGAGGATAATATCGACATTTAATACCTTGGTTCATATTACCCCCTTCCACCTAAGTGCCAATTTCACAAACTATCAATGTTTTAAGTCTTCATTCAAAGATCATAAAATTTTGAAAATTTGGAAACCATTAAGACATCTAGTTGTGATCAACAAAATCAATGAATGTGGTATTTTAAGAATACATTTAAATGACTGGTTAAATGGTTTTGAGTGTTTTATTTTTGTTGCAAGGAGATCTTTATGTACAGTTCGAACAATTAAAAAACAATGCGAAAAGAGCCCTATGAGGATGTTTCTCAAATAAAGTTAGTTGAGGAATAGGCTCTCAGTATATATAGCACACTCACATTCACCACACACACAAAGCACACGCAAACAGAGCACGCACACACTCGCTCACTTAAACATATACAATGAACTTGAGTTGAGATATCCCCCACATTACACTCTTTAAGAGACTCTGTGTAGTGTCCAAATGCTATTTATAGTTTGATGATACGAGACCATCGATTTTTCAAGTGAGAAATTTCAATTATTTGCACCAGATAATTGTGATTAGGTCAAATGTATCATTAGTGATATGTAAATGGGGTCATATAAAAGAAAAGATGGCATGTAGATGGAAATTGCATTGCGTAAGGTAATAGTCTAAAGGATTACAAGTCCAAAAACATAATATTACAAGAAATATTTTCTTTACAGTAACTTGAAAGACATTGGTGGTACTCTTTCCTCCCTTGGGGTTTCTCCCATGTGGTTTTCCTAGGAAGGTTTTAACGAGGCCACTGTGTTCATGCATGCTTGTCTTTTTGTATGGATTATTGGATTATGACTGGAATCTCTTTTGCTCTCAAAAAAAGAAGAGCTTGTGCCACTATCCATACAAGAACCGGCTGATAAAGAAGAAATATCCCATGGCTCGGTTATTTGGCTTTGATCATATTCAACCTCTGCAAAAGTTTTTTGGACATCAGAAGCTTTAACTGACAATTGAATTCCCTCCAATTCTACTAACACTTCTTTCATAGTAGGACGGTTTCTTCCATTCAAATTTAAGCATTTTTTTGCAAGAATAGCAACACCCACAATCTCGTCTTTTCCACCATCCTTCATAACTTGAGCATCAAGAATAGCAAACAAATTATTATCCTCCATGGACATAAGGAAATAAGTGGCTAGGCTTCTGCTTTCTGGTGACCTCATGAATGAAACTGGTTTTTGTCCCGTCAAGAGCTCAGCAAGGACGACTCCAAAGCTATAAACATCACTCTTCTCTGTAAATTGGCTAGATTGGAAGTATTCTGGGTCCAGATAACCAAATGTTCCACGTACTAGTGTTGTAAGATGCGTTTGGTCAATGGAAATTGATCTTGAAGTCCCGAAGTCTGCTACTTTGGCTCTGTATTTTTCATCCAAGAGTATGTTAGAAGACTTGACGTCCCGGTGGTAAATTGGAAAGGAAGCTGCAGAATGTAAGTAGGAAAGTGCTCCGGCAACTTCGATTGAAACTCTTAATCTCGTTTCCCAAGTAAGAGGGAACTCCTCATTCTGGTGATGAATATATTGAAAAAGTGTTCCATTGGGTATGAATTCATAAACCAAGAGGGGAACTTCAGTCTCTAAACAACAACCCAATAGCTTAACCACATTCCTGTGGGAAATTTGTGAGAGAATGACAATTTCATTAATGAACTGTCCAACGTCACCTCCCTCAACTATTTTAGACTTCTTGACAGCAACAATTCTTCCATCCGCCAACATTCCTTTATAAACTGTACCTTGGCCTCCCTGACCAATAACTCTGTCTGCATTAAAATGGTCCGTGGCTTTCTCTAGCTCCTTGCAATTGAACAACTTAACCTTCTCAACATTGAGTTCACCAGAAGATAATTGTTGCTCCAACACTGAACCACCATTTTGTCTAAAGAACTTCTCTTTGCGTTTCATATCTTTCCTTTTCTTCATGACTTTGTGCGCCCACCACATGCCAGTTAGCAGAAACAACAGTCCAAGAACACTGCTGGGAACTGTATGGTTCAATAAAACAAGAAAGGATATATAACTCGGTCAAGAAGATGTTGTTTCATATATATACTCTAATATGAACGTCCTTATTTTTTCTAACGTCCGGACTACTTGTTACTTTTCTTGGTATATATATTGGTAGAATAAAAATCATGCTTTGCCACTACTAAAAAGTAAAAAATGACCTCCTGTAGAAAGAACTTGGAGGCTGTTTATGTATTTAAGTGCCTTTTTTTAATGATAATAATATTGAAAAGAAGAGATGCACAAAACAAAATGGAAATGGTTTCCTTTTCATTGAATGAATGAATTCATTCTGATCATGTGAAAACACAAAACGAGTTTAGAAGTTAGAATTCGGACGTCTATACTAGAGAATAGTTCAATATATATATATATACACTCTAGTGCGGACGTCCGCAATGGAAAGGAAACCATTTACTTTTTGTTTTGTGTATCTCTCTTCTTTTCAATATAATTATCATTGAAAAAAAGGCACTGAAGCACATAACACCCTCCAAATTCTCTCTACAGGCCACCAATGAAGGAAAAGCCCAATCTAGAGACGATGTTTGACTTTAGTATTGGCAGAGCATGGATTCTGTTCTACCAATACCAAGAGAAGTGATAAAAGTGTTTGGGTTGATTTATTAGCACAAAGAAGGGAAAAAACAAGTAGTCTGGACGTTAGAAAAGAGAACAACTCTCTCTCTCTCTCTCTCTCTCTCTCTCTCTCTCTCTCTCTCTCTCTCTCTCTCTCTCTCTCTCTCTCTCTCTCTCTCTCTCTCTCTCTCTCTCTCTCTCTCTCTCTCTCTCTCTCTCTCTCTCTCTCTCTCTCTCTCTCTCTCTCTCTCTCTCTCTCTCTCTCTCTCTCTCTCTCTCTCTCTCTCTCTCTCTCTCTCTCTCTCTCTCTCTCTCTCTCTCTCTCTCTCTCTCTCTCTCTCTCTCTCTCTCTCTCTCTCTCTCTCTCTCTCTCTCTCTCTCTCTCTCTCTCTCTCTCTCTCTCTCTCTCTCTCTCTCTCTCTCTCTCTCTCTCTCTCTCTCTCTCTCTCTCTCTCTCTCTCTCTCTCTCTCTCTCTCTCTCTCTCTCTCTCTCTCTCTCTCTCTCTCTCTCTCTCTCTCTCTCTCTCTCTATATATATATATATATATATATGTATTTTTTTTCAACTTAGTCATCAATAATCAAAGGATTAGTGCAGGGGCATACCTATAATGGCCAGAGTAACTCGTGATGATCGTTGATCAGGCAATTGACACATAAAGCTCCCAGGATAATTGATGCAAATGCCGGAACCACATCTATAGGGGTGGTCTGGATCCTCGCATTCATTGATGTCTGATTTTTAATTGACAAATAGAAAGTAAAAGTTTCGGCAGGTGGTAAGAAAAATATAATAACAATGAATATGAGTTATTTTTATACAATTTCACTCATCATTTTGCCATGCAAAGGGTTGCCAGGAGAAATTATAGAGTGGAGAAAGTATTAAGAAATCAGTAAAAAAAGAAAAAAATCATGAAAAAGAAACTAAGACTTTTGAAGCTTGGACTATGGTAGCTAGAAGTTTACCTTGACATCCATGAGGAAGATACGGGTTTCCATGGTAGCCCTTTGAGCATAAACATTTGCTGCTGCTGCAATCCGTACTTTTATCATCTGTATTATTTGTTCCATATATATCAAACTTGGTATAATTCAAATCAAGTACGTGCCATTCCAGCACCATAGGAACGTAGTCCATTTCATCAATAGCAGAAACATTTGTTGAGTTTGATGTAAACCAATCATGCTCTACAAGGAAGGCAGACTTGCATGCCTTTCCGTCAGCATTTAATACTGCTCCAAAACTAGTATTGAAGGACCTGAGATATGGAGTAATGGTGGTCTGGCAGCAATTCATCCCGATGCAGCTTTTCGTTCGTAGATAGCTAGTACTTGTATAATCACATATGGACAAGCAGCCAGCAATTGTTGAACCATCTAAGGATGTCATCAAGGCGATTCCTCCACAGCTCAATGAAGTAAATCTGTTTTTCTGGGAGAACACAAACGGGCTTCCTTCCAAGTTAGGCGTCTGGCGACCTACTGGCTTGTTACTGCAATTAGAGAAGGTAATAGGGCTTGCCACCTTTAGCGTGCCTTCAACAGAAATTTCCAGCACCTCCAAACCAGTAACTTTCATGAAAGCTCTCGATGGACTGGTTGAGTTGTCACATATTATTTGGAACCAGTCACCGAGGTAGCAGCCATCTTCAATTCCAAAAGGATATGGGATTTGAGTGACTGATCCGCATCGCGATGAACAATTAGGCTTTGCCAAGGATGTTTCTTGTGATGCTACCGCACTCATATACCACAAGAACAGAGTAATTTGGACAATGTTCATTCTTCTGCTGCTTCTTCCTCTCATTAGTTTCTTGACGATAAACATTACAAATTGAAAGAAAACAAAATGCAGGAAGATGCAGAGGTAGTTTTATAGATTACATAAACTCAAATTCCCATTTAAGAGTTGGGTTCCGATTTTGCGTTGTTAATTCAAGTCCTCTCATATTTATGCCACATAGGATTACATTCCTTCTTTTATTTTTCTGAAGTCGACCACCTATTGATGTAGTAAGAAGCAATAATTGGTTTTGGTGACGAGGACTTTTGTTATCATTTGACTCGTGTAGAATAGTATAGCTAATTGAGCAGCCAAACTTGACCAATACATAGACGATCATGTATTAGGCTGGATGGAATGTTGCTATTTTTATCGTTTGTGGAAAAATTTCAGAAGCAGAAATTATTGGGTATTTGATCACGGATCCAAATTTTCAAAAGCAAAACAAAACGACATATCTACACTTAGATTTCCTAGATTTTGGATGGATTATGGAGATAACATTGTTTTTCAATCTCCAATCAATCATGTTTGGTCACACTTGATAAAAATTTCACATGACGAGTCATGATTGGAGGCCGCAATCTGATAGCAGAAGCGTATAGGACTGGGTAACATCTCACATTGCCCACAGATTGCGGCCTCCAAATTCTTGCATTTCTGGTTACATTTTCCTGAATTCCAACATGAACCGTGCCACACTATGCTTAGTCGTGAGCTCACCCTTCACGGTTTGTTTCTTACGTAAAAATACACACAAAAATACATCATATTAAACAAAAATGTATACGAAAAAGATCATGAGCTGTATACGTACGTATGTACGCTTTTGTAGGAATATATGCTTGAACATCTGCATGCATCAATGGAAAAATCCTGAAGTACATAATCATATGTATCTCTGTGCTAGCTAGAAAATATATAACATTTCCAAAATGTCCACCTTTATAACAAGGATGATGATTATTAGTGAAAATAATAACAAGTAAATATTAGGAGTCTTTTAGTATATGCTAGTAATTATAATTAATTATCTACAAAAGAATACTGTAAATTAATGAAGCTACTATAATTGAATGTATTAAATATCGATAATATCCCCGATATTATCCCGATAATATCTGATTTTTGGGGGTCCGATATTTTAACAACTAACCATAGTGTTATCGTCAATATATCGATATTATCCCGATATTATCCCGATAATATCGAGAAGATATTTTCAACATTTTTATGAATGATTTGGGCAATATATCGAGATATTATCGATAATATCCCGATACGAAACCCAAAAATATTTATATACATGGTATTTGTGAAAATCATTTTACTCCTTCAACACCTTAATTAACCATCATATCACTTATGTTTTTGTGAAAATACTAAAATATTTATATATATACATGGTTTTGTTTTGAATTCTTTTTGCAAGAAACAAATTTTCACATGAGATGAGTAGTAACTATGGTTATACTCATAACCAACCATTTCCCTACCCTTCATATNNAGAAAATAAAGGGCCAGCCATTATAACCATTAGCAATATATTTTTAAGGGTTGGCAGCTTCTTTACATGTATGGGTCTTGGAATTTGTTGTTTGTTTTGTGTGTGTGTGTGTGTTTTTTTTTTACGTAGGTTCTTGGTGGCTTTATGTGGCTGTTGGATCTTTTACTTGATTGTGCCTCTGGTTTTGCGGTCGCTCGGATGGAGGGGTTGTGGTAGCTGCTGACCCAGCTTCTTTTGTTTTGTTTTATTGTTTTATTGTGTTGTTGAAGCAATCACTGCAAATCACCGTAGTTGCCATGATGTAGTTGCCGCTTGGTCCATGCACACAAGGTTTTGCCCCAGTTCTAGATTTGGAGCTGCAAAGTTGACAGTTTGTTTTAGATAGGGTTTAGCCGGTGCGGCACTATGGTTTAGTAGGTATGGCGCTACAAGTCTTTTCGGTTTGCCGGAGAGGATGTGGAGTGGTGTTCTTGTTTCTTTGTTTGGTATAGTCTAATAATTCTTATAAACTCTTTAGGAGTTTGCTAAAGTTTGTATTTTACTTTTCGACTTTTTGATACGGATTTGCCGTTTCTGCCGTCGCGCGGTGGATCTATATTGTAAGTTTGAGTACAAGTGCTTTTTTATGCCGAATCGGAGTTTTAAACATTTTTATGTTTAAGTGTAATACCCTTCAAACCAAAGCAAATTGTTTTTATGTTTGGTCATTGGAGATGTTGTACTCATATTTGGCACTATGGTTGCTCTGTACTTTATTATGTCTTATCAATAAAATTCTGGGTTGTGGTAGCTGTTGACCCAGCTTCTTTTGTTTTGTTTTATTGTTTTATTGTGTTGTTGAAGCAATCACTGCAAATCACCGTAGTCGCCATGATGTAGTTGCCGCTTGGTGACAGGACCCGCCCTGGATTTCCTCGGAAACCGGGACGGATCCCGTCTAAAAATTCGACATTCCGCAGATGCCGGGCCCACTTACTAAAAACCGAGACTTTCTTCCAAAAATTTGGCAGAGTCTCCCCTGTAAACAGGACAATACCCAAATTCCAAACCTGTCAAAACACAGATAAAAACAACCCAAAAGCCAGCATGCATTACACAAAGCATAGTGTTACAAACCATGGCCTCCGGCCTCAAAATACCAAATCCTAACAAGGCAATAACAGAGCATGTCTAACAGAATTCAATCAGCCAACAAAAATGAAGTTTTACGAATTTACAAGGTACAGAAGCTCTACGAAAGCTCGGAGCAATGCAGTTCACGGTTCAGGGCACACGAC